ATAGATTATTAAAAATGAAATAAAGATTTAATTTATTTCTTTACATTTATGAATTTTAAATGAATTACATATTGATTAAATTTGGGAGATTAACAAAGAGTATGTTTTTTCGAATGGCAGCAATGTAAAAACTATTTCTGAGGACACGTGTAAGATGACGATCTTGCGTGTTTCGTATAATGAGAACAATTGCGAAGTCTCGTGCATGAGAAATGCAGTGTAGCATAAAATGTAATGGACGTAACGATGCAGAGAGTTTGAAAAGTCTCTGTTAAAGATATTTTGACATCAGAATAAATTTAAATTTGTTGGATCTCTTTATTGGATTTTGTTCTAAATCTTACGTTTTAAATCAAAATTTTACTCCCCCAATCTTGATTGCGCCATAAGTGAAGTAACTCTTTTTTCACAAACGATAAAAGAATAAACATAAGATATATTTAAGTGGGGGGGGCGAATGGCTCGAGATTTTGAGACAGTATCATAAATAACATGAAGCAATATGCCAAGGTATTCACAAAAAACGATTCCCTGAGAGCAAGACAAACCTGAAATTTCCTGCTTTCTGCATTCTTTTTCAATTCCGCTGAAATAAATCTTCGAAAGAAGATTTCTTAAATTGTGCAATCTAACTGACGTCTCAATTCTTTTTCCTGTCGAAAGAAAAATGGCGAGCAATCAGGAAAAGTTTGCTTATGTTTCGGAAATCAATGGCAAACATTACGATAAAGAGATTTTCTTCTTCACCAGCTAAATTTCAGAGGTGACGTTCACTACGTAGACAGACCTTTCCTAACTTTCGGTGATGAACGTGCTGGGTCCCATTCGATTATCACTATTTGCGTAAAACAGATTTCTGAAATATTTTAGCTCTGATTGCTGAAATAAGGACTTTAATTATCTATTCAGACAATTTATAGAAACAGTCTGTGTTTACAAAAAAATGCTTCGTTTTAGAGTGTGAGACTATAAAATTATGTTTACTATACTGGTGTGCAAAATTAAGAGAATTTGCAAATTACGCCCATTTTTTTTTTAAATATTGAATCAAAGATATTAATTATGCCGCCAAAAATTATGCAAATATTCAGGGTTGAATACATAAACGACACATATACATATGCGGAACTGCCATTGTGGAGAGAATACAAGTTCACAAGGGGTTTTCGGTGATTTTTGTTTTCGTACTCCTTCACGATATTCATCGTGTGTCTCTCAAGAATTAGATAACTTTTATAAGATATATGGTAAAATTAGTAGACACGAGTGCATGGGCGATGGAATGAGATGGAGAATCGTAGGTAGATCGGAAGCAGGCCAGTCACAGTACAATTTAATTCCAATACCGTGTGCAATTAGTGGAAAAATTTCAGGATACTGGATCAATATATAAAAGCCCTAGAAAAGGTCGACCAGATCCACAACGACAAATGAGGATCGTTATTTGACACTTTCAGCTCCGCGACACAAAACTGCTACAGCTTTACAGCTCTCCCGTGAGCTGCATGCTACCCACTGGAACCCGAGTTCCAGGTCTACAGTTACCCAAGGGTTTATGAGATAGGGCTGTCTGAAGGTAAATTGCGGTTTGTGTACCGCTAATGTATGTGAACTTCTGCATGATAATAATGCGTTTCTACAAGGTAATTGCAGGAATGAGTTTCGACTATCTATAGCATTTGCTTTATTTGATTTTAATAGCTGCTGGTAAATTGTGTATAGTTTCTTTCAACGATTTGGATTCACTAGTGAAAATGGGAATTTTAAGCCCTTATATCCAAACTTATAAATAAATATTACTTTCAAGTTAAAAATAGTCACTAATGCAGAGAACAATCACCTAGATTATTTGAATCGTCATATGCTGAATGAAGTTGAAAAACAAAAAACAAAAAATTTTAAGATTGATTCAGCACGACTTTTCTTAAATATTATCGGCTTATACTTTTGCCATTCACATTGCCTTGCTAATTTTAACTTTCACTTGAAAAAGTTTTATATTTAAATTTTATATTCCTGAACTCTAAATATAATATATTTACCAAATATGCTTGATAAGGTTTAAATATGTGTCATGAGAAGGTTTCTAGGTACTTCATTTTCATTAAACGGTAGTTAGAATTGTATAATCATAATGAATGTGCAGTCATTGCCTTAGTAGAATTTAAAAGTACATTATAGCTCACGATTTGATGTTGATAATTTCATTTCAAACTATGACTTACCCATCGATGGTAGATCTCTTTTTGTAAGCGTGCCAGGAATGTTCGGTTCCCCTTTTAGGAATATTTATAAGAGTACACGTCCCATTTAAACACTGATATTATTTCTTTATTATAAACGTTCTAATATTTTTTAAATTTCATATGCTCTTTGAAAGCTTGTATACCATCATGTATTTAAAACACAGGATTGAAAAATGCGAAATACGGGTGAAAGATCTTAATAAAAATGAAGTAAATCGATTCATCTCAATAAACCGGACTGCCATTTTTTGCGAATTAACTGAGTTCTTCCACACATGCGCAGAAGCACCACTGGGATCAGCTTAATGTGAGTAGGAAATATCAATCTGCACTTCATGAAAATTTAAGCAAGCGAACGGAGCCGACTTTTTTTCCGTTTCGCGCTTTGCGTCTCCTAATTTCTTCTCCCTGTCTTCTACAAGTTTTGACGTACTAGAATTCTGCTGCAGAGTGCCCTCTAAATTCAAACCTTTTGCCCGGCTGCCTAAATTTTCCTGCATGATTCTTTTCTAAATTCTAAAATTTTGCCGTTCGTAGAATCTGTCGCTCGGTGCGCTGCAGTGACTGGCCTGGCTGTAGCGTTGGCACTGGTTTGCAAGCAATGCACCTTCTGCGTTTAAGAACACGTCCTTCATTTTCATTTGGAGAACCTCATTGTTGTAAAAGGGAAGGAATATGCAAATATCATGCAATAAGAACAAATTAGGATTTATCTCCATAAACGCATAAATTAGGCATTGGTTGAAAATGATGCTTTTTGGAAACCTTTTAATAGATGAGTTTCACTGCTGTCAGGAAATTCTTGAAAAACGATTGTGATTATTTTTCTTAATTGTGATTATTTTTAGCGTTCAGTGCAACAAATTAGACTATTAAAGATCTAGGTTTTTTTCTTTAATGCATTCCATTGTGTAAGTTTTCGTGTTTGGAAACAGTTTGAAAAGCGTGGATTCGTGGATCAGATGTCTGGACATTTGTTCTAGGACGTTACTGCACCTTCTATTTACAGTCATGTCTATAAATTAAGGATAATGCAAAATCAGGCAAAGGAAGAAGTAGAAGCAAAACAAATTTGACTTATTTGTAAAGCTTATTTGTTAAACAAAAGGTAAAGAGCAAAAAAAGATGCTATATATTTGATATTATTAAAAAAAATAGCGATTTTTGTCTCCCTGGAGCAAATTACCAAAAAAAAAAAAAAAAAAAAAAAACTTATTTACAAAAAAACCAATATTACATGGTTGGTTTGATTGTTAATACATTGTATGTCTCCCAGACGATGCAATACAGTCCGTACAACGCCTAGGCATGCTGAGTATCAAATTATCGATCTGATCTTGGGGGATATTACATCACTCAAAAAGCAATGCACTCCGAAGTTCCGGTAGACATGTAGGAAGGAGGTTGACGGGCTGCAACTCGTCGGCCAAGCATGTCCCACACGTGCTTCTACTGGATTCAAGTCCGGTGAGAATGCTGGCCAGTCTGTACGGGTGATATCCTCCGATTGAAGGCATTCGCTTACGATATTTGCACGGTGAGGACGGGCGCGTTGTCATCCATAAACACAAATTGTGTGCCCATGGCGCCCCGAAACAAATGTACATGTTGTTCCAGAATGACGTCCCGATAGATTTGGCTTGTCATGATTCCAATTTGAACATGAAGGTCAGTTCTGGAACCCAGAATAATTCCACCCCAAACGAGCACTCCTACACCACCGTAACGGTGTCGTTCAATGATGTTTTCTTGGTGGTAACGAATACCTGGAGCTCTCCATATGAAAGTCCGGCGAGAATCAGACTGCAAGCTAAACCTGGACTCGTCGGAAAAACATCACACAAGCCCACTGTTGCGGTGTCCACAGTGCATGCTCTCTACTCCAGGCTAACCGCAGGCGACAGTGAGTTGCAGTAAGTGGAACGCATCTGACAGGTCTACGAACATATAACCAATCTGCCCTAAGCGTCTGTACACGGTCTGCCTTGAAATTGTCGTACCAGTGGCTGAAGAGAGCTGACGAGGCAGGTCTCGGGCTGTGCTCCACCTGTTTGTTTTGGCAGTAACTGCCAAATACCGGTCCTTATTCGGCGTTGTAACTCTGGGGCGACCTGTGCTGTAACATCTACTCACATTACCATCATCTTGGAATCGTTGCCAAAGCCTAGAGATGACACTCTGGGCAATTCCAAGTTCGTCTGATACTTCCAGTTGGGTACGCCCACATTCCAGACGGCCGATAATTCTATCACGTAAAAAATCATCCAAATGCGTCCTTTTGTGTCATAACTATTCGGTTATTGCACTGAAATGCTTATAAAGCGCCTGCGAACAATTTTACTTCTTTGCCTGTATTCCTTATATATCACTCTCTTACACTCTCGTCCTTGTAACGTATCATCGGTGTCATCTGGTTGCTTCCTGAAATTTGCATATGATTCTTGAAGATGTGTGTAGTGATTTTACAGGTGATATATTTATTTTAGAGTTCGATTTTCGCGTGACTCCGAATTATCCTTAATTTATGGACATGAGTGTATACATATGCTGTTTTATTAGTTAAGTATAATTCATGAGTAATCACGTCAATTGTTAAAAGCAACATAAACTGCTAAATCCCCCGACCGTTTTGAAAAAAAAAAAGTGTTTTCTCCGGTATTTCCAGACCATTTTTTTTTATTTCTGCGACTTTTCGGAGTTTTTCAATTTAGTTGAACCTCTACTGTTATTTAACTTTCCAAAGAAGCTCCTTACCTTTCGGATTGAATCCGAATATATAATCCGGGCAGGGTTTTATGGCTAAAGTGTTGGTTGCTGTTTTCGGCCAGCAGTAAGCTTCATCCCATGTTTGTGGGCAGAACAAACCTGAAAGAAATATTTGGATTACGATTAGAGGAATAAAGAGAAATATCTGAAAATACTACATTAATAAATAAATTGCATTAAACTTTCGTATTTAAATATTGTGCGGTTTAACATTTGGTAGATGTTATTTTTACTACCATTACACGAATACCATTACATCTCCATCTTCCATTATTAAAATATTGTTTGGTATTCACCAATTAACTCAATGATCTTAGTAGAAATCACCACATTTTTAAAATGCGCTAAACTCTGGCAATCATTCAAGTAACCGTTAAGCAAGCAATATCGCCGTTTTGGTATGCGTTCTCTTCACAGTAATCAAAGGCTTGTATGAAAAAAAATCATGGATTTTTTTTTAAAACTTGAAAATATGTTCTTTTGGAATTCGCCTGAGGTGGACTGTAAAATTTCTACAGAAACCTGGTGTTTTGTCGCAAAATCGCTTAGCAGGAATAATTGCATTGAATCTGTTCTTTAAGTAACGTTCTTTGTCTTATCCAGCAAAACTAAAGTTACTCCCTTATACGTAAGTTTATTGACTGATTCTCGTGATAAATACCTAATTTATACGTATTTAATGATATGTATACATTATCTGCAATACATGAAATGCTGGCATTCTATGGGATACCTCTTTATTTTGTACAGTGCCTGAAGATTTTAGGCAATGTACAAAGTGCGAGAATTATTATACTCTTTTCCTAGGGGCTGTGTACAATCCTAAGTATTCTATGACAAATGCCATTTATTCAAAGATCATGATAAGGCTACATTTCATGTTTTGCCACTTTGTTTTACACGTACACTCGACAAATCCTTGGCCGCTTCCACTGGACTGAGCAACTGCAGCGGACCGGAGAACACGTGATACTTATTAATGAATTACTAGATCAAAACGTAATCCTTTAGCTAATTAAAAAGTTTAAGCTTGCTTAAAAGCTTTCACTTATTTTTTTTTTTTTTTTTTTGTTTTTTTTTTTTTTTTTTTTTTTTTTTTTTTTTTTTTTTTTTTTTTTTTTTTTTTTGTTTTTTTTTTTTTTTTTTTTTTTTTTTTTTTTTTTTTTTTTGTTTTTTTTTTTTTTTTTTTTTTTTTTTTTTTGTTTTTTTTTTTTTTTTTTTTTTTTTTCGACTTTTCCTCGGGCCGTTTGAAAATCGCTGACCAGTTCTATGATCAGGGACGACGGTGCATGGGTTTGGTTGTCCTGGTAAGGTGCATATGAGCCAGATTTCCTTAGAAATTCCTTCACGAAGGCATTCCTTCCTTTACGCAGATAGCCCTAGTGTACTTTGCTATATTCAACTAAATCAAACCAACCATTGTCGATTTTAAGAATAGGGATTTGCTCAGTAGTTCTCAAAAAAGCACAAAGAAATTGTTTTTCCGATTTTTTTCTTTCTCCCCCTTCCCATTTTACACTTTGCCGATTTATTATTTGACCTTAGAAAAATGTGTGAAATGTGTTTCATGCAGTGTAGTCATTCTACAGAATCTTGGCTTTCATACATTGCCGGTAATATATGTAATAAATTTTTGGATATTGTAAGTATTCATTCTTTTCTTCTATAAAATTCTCTGTTTCACTTATGCATAATATTTGCAAGGATTTCACAAATGTTCAGTGATAAAATTTGCATTTGAACTTAGAATAATTTAATCTTCTTTTTAAGAAAAAGTGCAAATTATTTGACTTAGATGCAGTAATATCAAGATAAGTTTTTTTCCCCTGCTACCATTTGGCATTGGACTTTTCAACAGCTCGTTTTGAATACGCAGTTTAAATGTCCTGTACCTTTAATTTCTGGGAATTAATTCTGAAAAAGTTTGCCCGGGGTAATTATTGTACTTTTTTAGACGAAAAACCATAATTCTAAGATCAGATTGTTAATTTTGTATTTAAATATGTGTACTTGTATAAAACTATTCCATATTTTGAGTTTTTAATTTGTGACGTAAAACATCTTTTAATGGTTACCCGACAACCTCAATTTTTAGCATATTTCGCTTCTTTTTTATCTAACTTATCAGTTAAAGTTCCATGGCTGTAATCAGTATGAACAGTTAAAGAATACATGATAGCTTTTCATGGCGTATTTCAATATAACTTATTGCTAAAGACCGAAGAAGCCAACGCAAATACTAATTTAACAATTCCTCACGCTCTGAAAACTTTCCCTGCAACAAATGCAGAATGCCTGCCTCACGCAAAATGACTTCTGTTCCACCATCTCTCTATCTCACAACCTCTACCCTTACTAAGGCGGCTCCGGCTCCTTCGCTCGAATTGAATGAACGTAATTACAGTTTTCCGCCATGTCTCTCTTAAATTGCCCAAATTGGCCTGCCTATCCGGCCCAGAAGAGCAGACCGAGTTATCGAATAACTAGAAAAGAGTCTGGAAAAAAAACTCCCTAGGGATAACAAGAGTTAGAATCTAAATATCGGACGGGTTTCATTTCGTTTTCCTTTCACAGCGAATGAGAATTCGCGAAATTTCTGCAGGAAAATTTTGCTCTCTTGTAATTAGATTTTAAACAATTCGTGCAGCTGAGACCGAGCATTTTCACGTTTATTTAAATGACAGGGAGTTGTTTTGAATGAGTTGCATCCGAGAAACAAGATGGCCGTTTGCTTTAGCTCAATGGTTATCAAACGTTATGAACTCATGGAACCCTTAAAACTATAAAGATTTTTCAAGGAATCCCATCCAATCCTTAGAAAAATAATATTTAAAATAAATCAAAATATTATATGTATTTTAAGTAAAGATAAGTAAAGAAAGGTACTGCATTTTTTATTAAAACATTTTAACATAAAATTAAGGTAATTTACTCATTAATCATCCTAACTCGTATTCTAGGTGTTCACTTCATATTCAGCATTTAATTTGATTCTATATTTTATTTTAGTTGCCACACGAGTTGAAAAACAATTTTCACTTAATGAGTTATTCCGAATGGCATGTTTAAACTTGTGGGCAATTTCTAGACATTCTACATGAATTTACAACCTAAACTTTCCGAATTCGTTTTACTTAGATTTAGATTTTAACGTCAAATCTGTTGATATGTCGATTAAACTGTCCTCTTTCCTTCAGTGGCAAGCCTTCTGATTTATCTTAGTGCTCGGACGAATTTTTAGCCAGTCAAACGTAATGTTTTTCTTCTAGAAAATACTATTATATATTTTTTACAATGTTCTTTTCGAATTTTATTCTGATTTGAGGACCCTGGGGTTTGACTAGCGGAACCCTGGAGTTCCGAGGAACACCGTTTAAAGACCACTGTTTTATATGCGAGGGAAATTTAGTACATATAGTAATATCTAGTTATATTTAACTAGACATTAAAATGACCGAGATAACCTACATAGAAAATAGCCTATCCATGCGATTTTAACATTTAAAAGAAAAGGGATGGCTTCCCTTTCCTTGCAGGTATAATTTGATCTCATACAGGACAACGTTCTCGTTCAAGGCCCGGGTTTAAATCCAGGAAGAAGCCATGGATGTAAAATTGTCTGTCTCTTCATAGGAAGAAGCAGTGGCCGCCTATTATACTAAATGACTATGAGGCTAAATAACTGATGGAGGGGGTCATTGTCCACGAATGCTTAACTAGCAATGTGCCCGTCTGTTGAAAAAAAAGAAAAAAGAAAGCAAGAAAATAATTATCGTCTCTTAACTTTTCTATATAAATTGATTCTTTTAGAATAGACATTATTATTTGTTACAATTATAACTTTAAACTTTGTAACTAGTATTTTCAGAAACAACAAAAACTTTTTAATATCTTATGCCCGCTGGATTCCTACAACAGAAGACCTATTCAATTTTATAATTTCAACTTTTAGAAACATTTCCATTAGGGCAACTTCTCAAATTTATTAAATTACTCAGCCTCATAATCATTGGTATGTCGTGCATTTAACACAGCTGAGGCGATTACTATCCTCTATTTCACTACACTATCCTCTATTTTGCTCAGTTTATTAAAGAATCATATGTTAGAATTACTATGAAATCTTTATTTAAAAATTTAGAGAGTTTGCCTAACTCGAACACGAATCAAAATTAAAAGTCTTCGCAAACATTTAAATTGAAGTGCTGAAAAAAAAAGGAACTTACAAGAGACTGATTTACAAGTTTTAAATATCTTCAGGCTTACTTGCTACGCATTAATATCAGAAATATATTTAAAAAAAGGCAACATGTCTATAAAAGAAAATATTAGACTCAAACACAAGACAAGTTAATTTTTTTTAGATTTGTGCAAGAAAAGCATAGGTAGAATCCTCTCCCACCAATATATCGTTTGTTTTTGACGCTGGCATGTTTCATTACGCAAAAGTGACACTAATTTATTCTAACACAACTTTTAAAGTGCCTCATTAAGTTTATTCTTTTTTATTTTTACTTTCATCGCTCTACTTCTTCTTTTTGTCTGCATTTCTTTTGCTTCCTTCATTTATATTTTCAGACTCTTGAACACCAGAAGTAGCATAAGAGGCCAGCATTCTCGTCTAAAATTTAGAATGGTCTTCTATGAAAGTTGACCCAAGTACTATAATTATCTCTAAAGCTGATAATGGAATAAGTCGTTATGAATAAAAATATATGCACTGATGAAGTTGCAAAATTTCTAACAGAAAACTAATACCGCTATACCCTCAAGTATTTGTCAGGTTTTGACCTCTAAAATTTATTCGTAATCGCTAATAATCTCTCTTTAGTAATATTCTTCCAATTCTTTAAAAAAGCCTCTAATTTTAATTTTCTACCTGTACTGGGTTTTATTCTCCTCCCAAATTTCACAAAGCTTTCATTCCATTTCTCTTTTCCAGATATGAAAGAATCTTTTATTTTTATAGTCAACAAAATATTCATTCTTCGCTTCTTTACCAAAGAGCTGGGCAATTCTTTGAATGTAATTTTAATATTCAACTCAACGCTGAAATATTTATCAGATGCCTGCTAGGAAAGCAAATTCGAAGATGTCAG